AATTTTTAATAATAAAGAATATTTGAATTATGTCTTTACAAATAATTTAAGGACCCATCTTTAGTTAAGATATTTTTTTGTTAGAAATAATTTAAAGTTTTCTCTTATATTGTTTTTTTTTTCAAAATTAAAAAATTTTTTATTAAATTGATAATTAATATAGAAAAATTTTAATTTATCAATACAAACTTTTTTTTTTTATTCTTTAAAACTATAGTAGTTACATTAGGATAATAGTTATAAATATAAATTAACAATTATTTTTTAATTTAGATTATATATGTTTTTATATTATTATAAAAGAAAATTTAATTAATAATATAATTTTGAAATAAATATAATTTTCAATTATTTATTATATATTATTTAATAATTTTATTATAATATGGTTTTTTTGAAAAATGATTAAATTTAATTTTATTATATGTATAGTTTAGATTATTATATAACTTTACTAAAAAAAAACAATTTTATTATTTTCTATAATTTTATTTAGAATGTTAAAAGAATTTAAAAAGTTTAAGATATTTAATATTTATATAGTAATAGTTTAATAAATTGATTTTTTTGTAGTAAAATAATTAGTAAATAGTTAGGTTATATAAATAATATATTAGTCTTAATATTATGGATTTAAGAATTACATATAATATTATTAGGCTTATTATATAAGTATATTATATTTTATAAGAACAATTATTTATAATATAAAATTATATTATTGTATTTTATTTAAAAAGATTAATAAAAATATCATAGTAAAAACTCTTTCCCACTCCCCCTTCTTACGCTTGAAAATTTCCTTTTTAGGAAACTTTTTGAGTTGTTTACTTTTTTTCGTTTTTTCCCTTTCCCCCTCCTTCTCTTGGTCTTTAGCCTTTTATTTCCCATCTCCTTTTTTCTTCTCTACTCTTCTCTATACACTTTTTTAATTACTTTCCCCTCCCCTTCCTTTTTTTCCCCCTTTTCCTGCCGAAGTTAGGTTTTTCCTTCTCCCTAAAGTTTTTCCTCTCTAGGCCTTTCTCTCCCTAGGAAATACCGTGGTTCATTTCATCACTCCTCTGGTCAGCCGACTCCATTTTCTCAGGAACCATATAAGAAGTGACAAACTCTTTTCAAGAAGTGGGCTTCGACAAGATTTTCTCTTCCATGATTTTTTAGAAAAAGGACGGATGGTTTACCCCTTCCAAAAGATCGGCATGGTCATCATTACCAAATTCAGTGTTGTTTACTTGTTGACGGCTAGACTAGATACGTTTAAGAAACCGGTGCATACTATTATTGGCCGAATCTCTAGGTGCTGCGCCTTATGAGAATCTATTAGGACAATACGTGAAGACCAGGAATTCTAATTGCCCCCGGAAACGAGCTGGTAACGAAATTCGCTTACCCCTCGAACAATGTAGGTCTCATGTGCAAGGTTAGGTACCAACGCCTATATGAAAATCCAATTCAACTCTCTATCCATTGAATACTTCCGCCACACTTGGACGATGGATATGCTAAATCCTTTTTGTGACTTGGAGGCCAACCTGCATAAAGTGGCTGCAACGCCTTCATGCATTAAGGTAACATCAATCATATTTCTCCCTCCACTGACTCCGCTTGCCGTACATCAAGCCAACTTTGGAAAGCAAGCGTACAAAATCCCAACCATGACTTGGAGGCAAACCTGTATATTTGGCTGCAGTGCCTTCATGTGTTTGGGTACTCCCTAATTTCCTAGCTCTTTGCTAGGTACCGCTCAAGAATTTGTGGGTGTTTCGAAATATTTGCTGCAAAACTTGAGGGGTTAAATAGGTACTTAGACAAAGGGGCCAATTTTTTTGAGCCTTGCATTAAGCTCTTCTATGAAAGAGAGATGTAGTTTAGTTTAGCTAATTATAATACTGTTGTAATGGCAAGTCACTTATAATAAACGAGAAACTAACGGTTGTCTTTGTTCCAAAAAAAAAAAATAAAAATAAAAATATCATAGTTTGCAATTTGATTAGAAATAAAAAAAACAAAAAAAAACAAATAGCTTTTTAGATTATTTGTAATAAAAAATAAAAAATGTAAAATATAATAATGATTTTTATAATTATTAAAGAATAAAAATATCTAATAAATTAAAAAATTAAAAAAATAAAATAAAAATAAAAATAAAAATAAAAAGAATTTTTAAAAAAAAACAAAGAAAATAATTGCTATAAATTTTTTTTTATATATAATTTTAAAAAAAAAACAGACTTTTCAATTTATTATTTTCCAATTAAATATTTTATTTTAATATATATATTAGTACTTTTTTTTAATATCTTTAAAGTTTTAATAAAGAAAATAAAAATAATATAGAAAAAATTCGAATAATGAAAAAACAAAAAATATTAAAAAATTTTATTAATTATGAAAAAAGAAAATTTTATAAAAAAAAAATGATATACAAAAAAACAAAAAAATCAATTTCATATAAATTTATTTAAAAATTAATATTTTAAAATCAAAATATTATATAATAAAAATTTTATACTTTTAATTTATTTTTTAATTATTATAATAAATAAATTTTTTTAATTCAAAATAAATATTTATATTGTAGTTGCTTAATATTATTTAATTAATGTATTTTAATTTTAAATTTTAAATAAATTTTTTAATATAAGTTAAATAAATTATTATTATAAATAAAATTAATATTTTTTAACTTATCATTAACTTATAGTACATAAAAAATAATATTTTTTTCAATATATACAGTATATTCTGCAATATATAAAAAAAAAAAAAAATTTATTATTTTATAATAAATTAATATACAAGTATATTTGTATCGAAAACGTGATTCATCAAAAAAAAAAAAATTGAATTTGATAATACTGTATGCCCATATCTAATTATTTGATATAAAATGCCTATTTACAGTATATACAGCACATGTACTGTATATACTGTATCTATTCGAATTTACAAATTTTGGTATTGCACATACAGTAAGATAAAAAGAAATAAGTATACAGTATGCATGTGTAAGTGTATTGCATTTGGTTAATCAATAGTTATCAATTGATTACATAACAAGTACAATGAAATGAAATCTATTTATATATATACAATATTAAAATACAACAAATTATTATTAATTCATACAGTTTACAGTTATCATAATATACTGTAAATAAGACATGGTTAGTCATTATTTGTAGCCAAAGAGATAATTGCCAATAACTGTGAACAAAGTGTGAACAAGTGATGAATGTAAATTGTTCGAAAATCTCGCTATTCAAATAAGGTATGGTCACATGCCAAAGATAAGAGAGGGGGACAATGACGTACGCTCCAACAGAATACCTATCACTCATCAATAGGAGCTTTACAATGTTTCGTTCTTTTGAAAAAAAGACAGTTAATCAAACCTTAACAATTGATTAATTATACAATTGTTAAATTGAAATTCGATTTGGCTAACTGATCCGTCGATATGTATATCGTATGAGCAAAAAAAGGAGAATAAGGCATTGATATTCTTGATATTCTTTAGTGGTATCATTTCCGAAAAAGAAAAAAACGTGGCTTTTTTTTTTGATATTATTATGGCACATTTTTTACAACTTTGGTTGAGAGAAAAAGTTTTTTTTTTTCAAGATAAGGTCACATTTTTGACGAACAAGTATTATGTAAACTCGTGATAATCTCCGGAGTTAAGTAAGGATTACACAACTCCATAAAGCAGATAGCGCTGACCAAAATTATCGAGCCATCGACAATAATGATAGTCATCGTCCTTGTCAAAATCTCAAGACCGCTACCAGTTTACATAAAAGATAACTAAGCCGCGTCAGGAGTGCATCTTCGACGATTGCATCCAAAGAAAGAAGTTTCAGGCGTCAATTTAGGGTTAATCAATAGTAAATTCAGTTATATTAAAGAAGAATTTAAATTCTTCTTGAAAAAAAAGAAAAATCATCGGAAATCGGTTAAGCCTTGAATGGCTTTGCTTTGACGAATGGTGAATGCGCTTTCCAAATGAAACCAAAAAACGTGTTTTTCATTGAAGGTTGGGCAAACAAATAATATCGTGTGCACCTTTTTTTTTTTTACTTTATCTTCATTGCCTGTGAGAAAAAAACACATGTTTGGATAGGAAAAAGAAATTATTCTTCGATGAAACTATCAGAATATGTTGGACATGACGTAAAAGAATATAATTGAGAAGCGTCTATGCGATGATACCAGGTATTTGTGCATTTAATGTATGCAGTTGATTAATACCGGAATATTTTCAGCTATTTTTTTCTTTTTTTTTTTTTTTTTTTAAAAAAAAAAAGTAAATACTCTGTGTCAATCTTTGTAAATCTTTACTGCACACGAGGAATTAGTGACGAAATTTTTTTTTTTTGACTTTGTTTCTTTGTTACTTTTTGGGTTTATCAGCGAATGTAAGCAATGCGAGGTCGTAAAATATAAGGTATTAGGAATTATTCTTTCTTTTTGTCGCGGAGTTAGAGGTGCATCACTTTTTGTGGAGTATGTTCAAGAAACTGTGTCTAATATTAGCGAACACTTCAAAAAGACAATATCAGCTTGGAATCATTTATAACAATGAAAAAAAATAAATGCTGCATAACATCGTCCCACCATGCACATCAGTAGGCTCGGTCCACTAGAAATTTCTCACGTTATTGTTTTTGTTACATTCTTTCATTGTAATTTCTATTCTAATGTTGACTATCGATTGACACATACAGTGGAAATATGTTCACGCAATCTAACTAAATCGAATTTTCAAACTTGACCTTTTTTTGTCAACCTCCCTTGGACGTCGAAAGAAAGTTTTAAATCGATGCGAGCCGAGCCGTACGCAAACCAGCCCCAAAAGGAAAAAAAAATATTTTTTTTCCATTGCTTCGGGAAATTATTCGAAAAAAACTTGATTGAAAACTCGTCAACAGATTTCTTATTTGAACTTGAGAAACTAAGATCAAGGGCGTGAATAAAAAACATTATATGCAAGCATCGGATCATTCGCGCTTTTGGCTGTTGGTGTTGTTATTGTTGGCGTCTTTCTTTGCATTCGGTCGGGTTAGATTGTGCTATGTGACGATGGTCGCTAATTTATTTTATGAATCATGTGACTATGATGAGGAGTGACACCAAAAAATTCTTACGTCTAAAGGTGGTGTTTGTTTTGTTCCATAAGGATCTCGTCTTTCTGTATGCATGTTGTGCTACGCGTTGGCATCGAAGTCCCTCAGATTTTCGTATGACAATACATTTAAATGTTCACTTCGGACTTCCATTGACGACAAGTAGAATCTGATAGGTAGACTGAAATTGTTGGCGGTGAAAATGCTTTACATTAATTTCAGCCCGTCTGTCTTACAAATGCAGCCCACCATCCATCGTAAAATTGGAATTAGGTGCCTCAGATCCGAATCCGTTATCAAGAAATGGATCAATTACCGTAACTGGACTCGAAAATTTCGATCGGGCATAACAATGAATGCTCACAACTAATTTCTCGAACTCGGCATAGTCTTACAGTTTACTGTGTTCATGTAAATAGATGTCACCGAGATTTCTGTGATCAATGATCTACACTATTATTTTGGGTGTTCGAATACCCAGAATCACCCAAAGGAATGGTGTTTCAACTAATTAAAGAAATTTAGGGGTCTTGCATGTATGTGCTCCTTCTTATGTTGCTGTTTCACGCGAAGTTCATTACGGAAATAGATGTTTCTAATAAATCCCCATGTTTTAAAAGCGTACATACCCTTAACTTCCAAGTACGTAAGTACAAAATATTTGTGTATGCCAACACATGATTATTTTCGTCATGGGAAGATAATAGATCGCACAGGAAGCATTGTTATTCGCCGGTGGCAGATATCTGCCGTTGAAACATGCGCAATTTGGTTAGTGCAGCGAGACCGAACATCACGTGCGCTTTCTCCCGATAACAGGTTGTACATACTAGTTTTTAATGAGATATTCGTGAATTCGTCCAGTTCTTCTTTCCACATGCATAAACCTAACATTGAGTATGGTCGTAAAAAATTTTCCGATATACATCGGAACAGTGCGACAAACCGGAAATTTCTTTTCCACATTCACCTGATGAGTGTGTGGAGAACCGGACTTTCTTTATAACGAATTGGCAGTGTGTTTTTTTTTCCACGCTCACTCGGGAAAATCCTTTGCGTAATGAGGTGTCGGATGAAACACATTCTCATACGTTTGTTCGTTCGTTCATTCACACATCGTCATGGGGTCATTTATGTGGTGTATATATCGTGTGACTCGGGTTTTTTGGGGATAGATTATGTGCATATCCGGCTTTCCAGATTCAACTCAAACATTTGTAACTTGCTTAAATGTTTCACCAACATCTTAACCTTTTTCTGAGTGCAGCATGTGAGAGTTTTCGAGAAAGCATTGCATTATTTTTATTATTATTATTATTATTATTGTCATTTATTTTTTTATCTGCCTTATCATGAAATCCGTCTAATCCTATGGGTTCATCAATGATTCATTTTCCTGAGGATAAATAATAATGTGTAGTTAAGAACGCATGTTTGATTGAGCCCAAGCGAAACTTTAATTACGAGATATTAAAAAAACGCGCACAGAGTGGTGTGACGGTGTTCCAATGGTTGCTCGAGGGAAAGGGCTGATCGAGGAGACGACAAAGACCTAATAAATTAAGAAATGTGCTACCGCGTGTCACGTGACATGACAACTTTGATACAGAAAAATTTTTTCCACTGTACCCATTGATAATGAATTCGCGAGACAATTACCATCAAGCCCCCATGCATATCGCATCCTCCTTTGTTTCTTAGAAATCTATGCAAGCGGCAAGATTGTGCATTCGAAAATTCGAAATTATCATTCATGTTGAATGTACCCATCCGCTCAGTACAAAGAATGTTAGTTTTATCCTATCGCTATCACTGAAATCGCAGCCCCCCCTTATCATTTAACATCTGAATTGAGGATTGTCATAAAAAGTCATATGCGCAATCTATAACTGGGAACTATTACATATGATACTAGGATAAAGGAAGATCCAATCCCCGTGTGCGCAAACCTTCCGTTCTACTACTGTCTTGGAGGATAAGGGTTTTTTTTTTGGTGCAGCCGTGTCTCATCGACGAATGGACACCTGACCCAACATCATCCCAAAAAAAAAATTCAACCCACGTGTTACGAAAGATCAAGGTGATATGGGGAATCGATAAATGAAAATATCACACGGCATGTCGATTATGCCGGGGCATTTGCCATATTTATGAATTAAAAAGAGAGGCACACGTACGCTCGTATGTATCATATGAACGTCTAGCCCTATAATTCAACAAACGATACCTGCCAGCCACCTGAAAGTCCAAGCCTCTCTTCGTATCTGAGAGGACACATGATGCGATAAATTCCAAACAATAGTAATCGCGTATTGTGTCGTTTTGATAAGCCATGGAGGTGAGAGAAAGAAAAAAAAGGAAACTTCGTCTTCCTCGTCATACCCGAGTCGTTGGGGCGGTCGAGGGACAAGGTCATTCCGCATGAAAAAAGTTGGTCATGGGTTTCTGATAGATGAATAATGAATGATGGTAAATGGATGGGACAACGTTCAACAACATTTTACATGAGTGGCGATAGTTTATTTAAAAAAATAATAGTAAGTAAGTAAGTAGGTAGGTAGGTAATGTAATGCATTAAAATCGGC